AGAGAGGTGACACGGTTAAAATTATGAACAAAAGTTTCGTTCAGCCAATGATATCCTCATGCGGCAGATGATAAGCACCTTGACAGGCAGCAGAGTTGCGGATGTTAATGCAGTCGACCCTCATGTGGATGTCATCCTCCATGTCACGCCGCTGTTGATCATTGTAGAACACGAGTCGTCCGTCAGCCCACAAGTCAAACCAGTTCCTCTTCCACCGACGCAGTATGGTACCTTTAATGAAAATATGACACAGTCAAGTTCAATCCAAACTTATTTTGTTTATACTATATATCACACCAACAGTACCAGCATCTTTAAACAGCATTTAATGAGCAGTGGGGGAAGAAGTATTAACTAAAAGTAGTAATATCACACTGTGATAGTACTCCACCACCAGTAGCCTGTGAGTCCTGCATTCAAAACCTTACTTCAGTAAAAATATGTAAGTATAATCAGCAAAATGTACTTAAAAGTACAAAAAGTAAAAGTACTCTTTGTGCAGTAACTACGTCACTATAATATCACGGCTACATTAATGTGTATGTTGCATTTTACTGCCGTAGATGTTTAAGGCCATGCCAATTTTCACTCTATTACATACGGCTGGGTCGTTTAATTCACAGCAATGCATCATATTCTATAAGATCATCATATGTTTGCACTTTCACAAGGTAAACTGTGCAGGAGAAAAATAGTGGCCAATGCAAAAAAAGCAAATGGCCATATCTAGAGCCAGTGTTTGGTGTGTCCTTTCTGGGTTACTGTAGAACAATATGGGACAGGGAAACAAGGAAGGCCATTGAGAGCAAACTCTCTTTTACAAGGACGCCCTGACTACAGCAAATAGAAAACAATAAAAGCACAAAACAAATCACAGTATACATTAACAAGGTGTAAAACGACAGATGTTTATATCTAGATATAAACTGTATAAATTGGTCATTGTTAGGTAACGAAAACACAACGATTCTTAATTTTATGTGATTATAAACTAATGAAAACTAATATATTCCATATATTTCTGTAATGGATGCTCCTGAATCCAACACACTGGACCTTTAAGAAGTAGGAGAATTTTCTTAACACACTCTCAATGCATACTTTTTCTTTTTACTTTGAGTAGGTGCTGCAGCTGCCCCTAAAATGTACGTACTGTTGCATGCAGTATGCACACAATCAGGACATACCACTTTCTCACATTACACCCTGAACTTTGACCTTCTTGCTTTTATATCCGTTACCTTGGAGATAAAACAAACGCCACTCACCAAGTTCGCCAGAGATGGAAATCAACCCAGAGAGCTGTGCTGTTGTTACTTTGCAATATATGTTTAACTTTTAAGTTATAACTGCACAGATTGTAGATTCGAACATATTTTATTTGCGACAGTGGAGTTCTGTCATTGTTATTTTTATAGTTATGTCCTGTTTGTAATATTTGCTAATGTTTGACGGATGGCTTGAGTGTCATCCATCATTGCGAATTCTGACAGCGGTCAATGAGATGTCAAGCCGTCTTCTGTGCAGAGGACGGCATACTGCAAAATACAACCAGTTGTAATAGAACATCCTGGTACTTTTGGCATGCTGCGTTTCACATAGTGTGTATTGGGACATACTAAATCTTTTTCTGGCATACTATAAAGTATGGCAGTGTGGGTATTGGAACGCAGAGATTCAGTTTATCACAAACATTCAAAATCAATACATCTGGAGATACAGAAAGAAGAACTGTGATCTGTAAATTAACTACAGCTGTCCAACAAATGTAATGAAGTAGAAAGTACAGTATTCTCCTCTGAGATGTAGTAGAGTAGAAGTATAAAGCTGCATTCAATAGAAATACTCAAGTAAAGTACAAGTACCTTGAAGTTATTCTTACATACAGTACTTGGGTAAATGTACTTACATCCCACTGTTAATAAGCTGTTGATGCTATTTCTGAATACTCACTCTGTCGATGAAGCCAGCCACTCTTCACCATAGCCATCTTAGAGTTAACACCTGAAACAGCATGACAACATGTCAGTCAGTGCACACACTGAGGGCTGATGACTGGGTGTGACGTTGCCAAAACAAACCTCGTGACTGTTAGCACTGTTAGCATAAGTACACAATTAGCTTATATTTTCAGAACTACATAGATAAGCTAAGAATAAGGCTTTATAGCAGAACTTTATTTATTCACAGTTTCAGATATAAAGCCACCACACGAGTTTATTATTATTATCACCACCAGTTCTGACTTTACAACTTCACATGGGGACGTGAATAGAAACGTTTGATACCATATGGTTATTGGTGACAGCATTATTGGATGGTAACGTTAGATAACTGTCACTGTCAGGTCTGTTAAGGTTCGTTTAAGCGCTCAATTATTCATCCAGCTGTTTTGGTGTCATCGCACCTTAGCTAGCTAACCTATCCTAACGGTAACATAATGGCTTCAAGTAACAACAGGCCACTTGTGAATAGGTCATCCTCATTTCTTATTAACACAAGTTAGACCGGAGAGACTATGTTTAATACTGGTAATGTAACGTGAGGCACAATATCAGTAATCACTTGTAGCAAACAAGTTTAGCTAATGTTTCCTCACTGGTGTCAAACGCAGTCGAAGTTAGCTAGCGTTGGTTAACTAACGTTTGTTTATACATGGCAGCAGCGAGTTCAGTGTTCAACGTTAGTTAAAATACCAACACTGGTCCTTATAACCGGTGATAACGGCACATTAATTAGATACGGACATATAAAAATGGTGTATTTTGGTTACTTACTTGTTTATTTGTATGTTTTATGAGAAGATAAAGTATTTCGTGAGAAGACAGCGAACACGGAAGTGAGATGTACAAAAAAAACGAAGATGCCCACTTCGGAGTCAAAAAGCTTGACCAGCAAACCGAGTGGACACAGCGTGTCTGCGGCCGTTATTTGATCTTCGATAGTTGCTCTTAGCCCCGCCCACGCAGCATCCTCGCGGACGTTGAGCGTCTTCGGAGAAGGAGGTGTTTGATTCGCGTGACGTCACCCATCAGCTGACAGCGTTGGAAAGTGCGAGCAAACTCAGCGAGGGGCGGCGCGCTCGTTTGTGTGTGTCCTGAGCGGGGCGGGTTCATGTGTGTAAACAGATGAGTGCAACATGGTTTCTACCATTAAATTAAATTAAATTAAATTAAATTAAATTAAATTAAAAAGAAAACAAAAGAAAACCATAAAATTAAATTAAATTAAAATTAAACACAATACAATAAAACAACATAAAATCAAATAAAATAAAACGAAATGAAATAAAACACATCCCAGTACAATACAACACAATAAAATAGAATAAAATAAAAAGTCAAAGTAAAGAAAACAATACAATAAAACAACATAAAATAAAATTAAATGAAATAAAACACATCACAGTACAATACAATACAATACAATACAATAAAAGAACATAAAATAAAACAAAATGAAATTAAAAAGTCAAAGAAAAGAATACAATAAAATGCAATAAACACAATACAATAAAATAAAATAGAATACAATGAAATAAAATAAAACACATCACAATACAATTCAATAAAATAAAATTAAAAAGTCAAAGAAAAGAAAACAATACAATACAATACAATGCAATACAATGAAATAAAACACATCACAGTACAATTCAATACAATACAATGCAATAATATAAAATAAAAAAAAAATAAATAAAATAAACCCTTGATGATCCCCAGTGGAGAAATTCTGTTGCAGTGTTACAAGCACACAAGTATAGAAAGTAACAGAAACAAATAATAAGAAGTAGCCTACATAAACTATAGAATATAAGAATAAAATAAAAATACAGGAGTATTTGGAAACAAAATAATATGGTGAAGTCATAGTGGTGCTCATAAAGTGACAGGAGTGCGCATGGGTGCAGCAGCAAATTCTGGGCCCTGTGCATAAGCAGTCTCTGTGGGGCCCCCACCCATCTTCTCTCGAACCGTGTCTCTCACACACCTTTAGATTTTTTATTTTTGTAATGAAGTCAGATTGCTCTCTTGCCCTATCTTTCTTTCTTCCTTTTCTTTTACAGAACAATGATTCGCCTGTCTTGGGGAAAGACATGACAGTGTACGTTGGTGCTCCGACAGCATAACCAGTCACGTTTATGGTGCATTACATTTACCTCAGAGGGCCGGGGTTGGGAATGACATCACACCTGAGTTGATCATGTTTCAGTGCAACAAGACAGAAAACCATGATGTTATTAGCATTACCAATTCACGCCCGGTTAGCCATTGTTAGCAATGCCAGTTGATAACAAAGCAATATTTTGCTCAAGCTTAGTTTTTGCTGTTACCTGTTGGAAGTGTTCGCTGCACATATGTGGGCCATGGGAAGTTTTTTTTTTACAGTTTTTCTTTCTTTTTTCAATTATAAACATAAGATTCAGACAATGTTATTAATCCCAGCAGGGGCAATTTGTTTGAACAGCCTGCTGTGCACACACACTGCAACATACAGTAACATGTTGACAAATAAATAGATGAGCAATAAATAAAAAATAAAAAAAATATGCCAAGGAGTTCAGTGGAATATTTGAATCTATAAATAGTAATTTTAAAAAGTTAATAGACTGATTATCAGTAAAGGAGATTTAAAAAAAAAAAAAAAAAAAAAGCTGTATGTCCCTCCCCTGAAGCCAAAATAAAAAAATAAGTGCCTCTCCAGTGCTTAAGAAATATTTGATGTGCTGTCCCCAGTTTGCACCTCCCTTCCCTCTCAACAGAACAGTCCCTAACTGTAATTAATTACAATTCCATTTATCTTATAATTTAATTACACATTACTAGTTTAACGTCACTAGTTACTCCCCAACACTGAGTGTAGTATACATTATAGTATGGGATATGAGACATAGTATAACGTGTAGTAGTGTAGGAACCGTAGCATAACATGTAGTGTTTCAGATCAGGGTTAATGTAGAGGACTGTGCCTGCCACACAGGAAGGAAACACAACAAACAAACTGTAAACCCACCACAGCCTCTCTGAGCCTCCACACATGTGCCTGTGTGTTGGAGGGAAACTGATCCTGCGTGACTGCAGCAGCGAGTCCGCGTCGCTTCATCACCGCCCGCCAGAGCCAAGTGTCTCCGAGCCACTGACCGCCGGGGGACGCTGGGGTATAAAAGAAGCACAACAACTCTCCGGCCAACAGTTTGAGAGCTAACGAGAATAACGCAGGGGCCAAACAGCTAACCTGAAATGGCGACGGCAATATACTTGGAACATTACCTTGACAGTGAGTATTCGGTGACACACTGTGCTGGTATTAACGTTTTGAACATGTGACGCGTGTTTGAGGTTTAGTTTGACTGTATCGAAGACTTTTTCGCTCGGCGGATGACTGGCAGACAGCAGCATAGCGCGTTAGCAACTAGCTGCTAGCTCGCTAGCTAAGTGGTTAGCATCGCGATATAATCGTTGGTGGTATAAAGTTAGGTAAACTCCACATGCATGGTGTTAAACTCTATCTGGGGGCAGTGTGAGCTCCACCTGGGCACATGTGAGATATTTAATAGAGTTTGTAGTCAGCTGTCAGTGTCGGGCTCTGTCACAGGAGCTTACTAGGTGACCTAGAAATTAGCACTGGTTTTATAAGGTTGTTTAAAATGATAGTTATACTCAGTGCTATGAGACTTTAAAACTGCGTCCATTTTGGTGTAAATGTGTGTTTGTTGTAGGAAGGCAGACACCATGCGTTTACAACCTGTTGATAACCGCGTTTCCCGTAAGCATTACGCGCCGGGGCGGGGTTTTTGAAGCCATATAACATAACGTTACTGAGCTGTCAGACAGTGGGTAACACTGTAGGCTGGAGCCAGCTCACACACGTCTCTCCTTTAGGTCAATATTAATCTATATACTGTTAGATATATTATACACTTATCATGTTATATTAACGTTATCATCAATGTCAATATAAATCGAGTTATCCTGCATATACTGACTGTAATGTTGAGGTGACTGATGGCATAGGATCAACAGGAAGACACAACTATCTTAAAACAAATGTGTATTAAAGGTTTAACAAAAAACTTATTTTGCAAATGCGAAATTGGTTTTGTAAGTGGCAGAAATGTACATTTTATTACCTTTCAAATAATTAAATTTCTGGACAATAATTTATTTTATGGTGTATAAATCAAATCAAGTTTATTTATATGGCACATTTAAAAACAACCAAGTTGAACAATGTGCTGTACAAATTAAAAGAATGACACCAGTAAAAACAATTGCATATGTAAAAAGGATGATATAATAAAACAGTGTCAGTGGAAGGAGAGCATTTGATTGAGAGCTTTGGAGCAGCTACTGCAAAGGCACGGTCTCCGTCACCCACCAGTCTCGATCGTGGGACAGTTAAAAGTCATTGTTCAGAGGATCGAGAGATGGTAAGAGGTCGGGAGTTGGAGTAGGGGTAGACAAGTTTAACAATATACTGGGGTGCCAGCCCATGTTTGGAGTTATAGTTTGTAATTGATCATATAATATTCTCCCCTTTATAGCCCTGTGTCACCCTAAAAATGCATTAATGTGTGAATTTGCGTTCAGTTACAGGCTAATTATGTGTTTGCACATTTTTAAAGGTCCCATATTATTAGAGATGTACCGATACCACTTTTTCCTTCCCGATACCAATTCCGATCCCTGAACCTTAGGTATCTGCCAATACCGAGTACCAATCCGATACCAGTGCAAAAATAAAAATGGATGGGATATGAATTGTTGTATGTCTCAACTCCTAAAACTCAATGTAAAATATTAAGAAATAAATACATAATAGTAGAATGAATGCCATAAAACTTTTTTTTTTTTAAATTATTATTATCCAGTGTTGACACAGATCAAGACACAGGTTAAAGTGCAGCCACAAAATTTGGTAGAAAAGACATTTTAAAGGCTACAGTAGAATGCTTTTTAAACTCAGCTCCGTTTCCGTTTTGTTTGCCTGTAGCGTGCGTATGTGTAATGATGTGAGGCATTACGTGGTATCGGATTGGTCATAGGCTGTACTCGCCGATACCCGATACCCGATACTGGCATCGGTATTGGCACAGCTCTACATATTATGCAGAGTTTTAGGTGCATACTTGCATTTGGGTTCCCTACTAGAAAATGTTTACATGTTTGAAGGTGAAATAAAAATACATTTTTTTAATATACCTGCAGTCAGCCTATCCTCCAGTTTCGCACCTGTCTCTTTAAGCCCACCTCCTGAGAATGCCCAGTTTGCTCTGATTAGGGTTGCAACGGTTTACCAGTTTCACGGTACATGATGATATTAAAATTAATGGTTATTGTACCGTGCACATTTGCTTATCTACAATATCTACTGGACAGAAAATCTCAACTTTGTTTGCAATGGGAGATTTTTTTACACATACTTCCATTAAAAATGGTTTGAGTTTCAAATAATGTGATAATAAATTGTTTGTTACATAACCCTTCTGTTTTAATTCCTTTAAGGGTCATTCTGATTGTTGATAATAATACTAGTAATAATGTAATTATCATCTCAGCATCTCTGCATAATGACTACAGCCTGGGAATGACAGTAACGGAACTGTAGCGGCAGTTTCTACCTTTGGATAGTATAATTGTGACATCACAGCTTCACAGACGTCCTGATGCCTCATTCAAAGTAGGGATGGGCAGCACAAGCAAAAACTCTATTCGAAAATCGTGGCAACTATTCGACAATTTTTCGAAGTCTCTGCATGTTTCTCCTGTTTGTGGAAGAGCATCAAACTAGCTGGTAGCCCATCTCACACCGCTGTAGCAATCCTATACTGCCCTCGTGCGGTTAGGAGCTGAATTGCATGTCAAATAAAGGGGGGAAATAAGACGGCGAATAGTAATAGTCGCATTAAAAAAAAAATTTTTTTCAAAAATAAAACGACTATTCAAAATTCGAAAATTGTGATCCATCCCTAATTCAAAGGCACATCTTCTGAATATCGACTGTCTGTGTTTATCAATACATTTAGCGTATTGATCTTTTCACAATATTTTTTATGTTATGAATTAAATAAGACATGGAAATCTGACTTTTTTCAACATGGGTTCTTCAAAGCCCCATCAAGCTGCGACATTGGGTGATCCTGGCAGTGTGGGTGACCCGTTTATGTCATACAGGCATTTGTTTTAATGTTATTATTGGAGAAATGGTTCTTGCAGGTTTAACGCTCTAAAATCCATTATCGATCGGGCTATAGTTACGGCACTTGACCTGGAGTGACGCTACATTGATTAAGTGGATAGATAAGTGAAGTGGTAGGGATGGAGTGTCTCTCTCTTGGTCTCCCTCATCCTTATATTAATTTCATCTCCAGGTATTGAAAACCTACCATGTGAGCTGCAGAGAAATTTCACTTTGATGCGGGACCTGGACAACAGGACTGAAGGTGATGGCTTAATCTCATCTAAATGTTGTGTGCAGGGCCTCTCAAGTGTTGCATTCTTGTGTTGTACCATTCAAAACCAACTGTAAAAGCTGAAGAGGTATATAAGCAAAAATTGTGCCTGGTTTTCCAACTGTTATAATCCTATTGTTGTGCAGAAAAGAAAAGTGAGATTGACAAACTGGCTGAAGAGTACATAGCGAAGGTGAAGAACCTGGCCTCAGAGCAGAGAGTGGAACACCTGCAGAAGATCCAGAATGCCTACAGCAAGTGCAAAGAGTTCAGTGATGATAAAGTCCAGCTTGCAATGCAGACATATGAAATGGTCAGTCCAAAATATATAATCTGGTTATCATATATTCCTGATTTGCAAGTGAAACCGCACATATGGTCAAATTGTAATCACATGATTTTTTTTTTTTTTTTTTATTGTAGGTGGACAAACATATCCGCCGACTGGATGCAGATCTGGCGCGGTTTGAGAATGAGCTAAAGGAGAAACTGGAAGTGAGCGGATACGAAAGTACAGATGGAAGAGCACTGAAAAGTAAGTCGAGGCTTTTATTGTGCGACCAAAACGGTTTGATGCACATTTATAAATGTAAATCCTTTCCACAGAGGGTGAATCCCGTGGACTGAGAGAGAAGCGAACATCCAGAGGAAGAGGAAGGAAAGGTTCTGATGAAGATTCTCCCAAAAAGAAAAAGCTAAAAAACAGGTATGTTTGGTGGCACAGTCAGACTGAGAGTTTACCTGTCAGAGTCTGTAATACACATTTTTATCAGACCTGAAAATCTGTATTACTCTAACCAGTGGTAACTCAGATTACCAATGGCTCATTAATTTGCCTCCAATTTAAATTTGTTTATTTCCAATCATTCGGGGTGGAAATCTCCAGGTGCCTCACGATGTGATTATGATTCAGAGGGTAACAATTCAATAATACAACGATTATTGATGCATCGCAATGTTTGATTTCAACACATGGCTTCTTTTTCTCTTTCTTTTAAAATATAGCAGACTGCATTTTTGGTGATCCATAATTAAATTAACAGATTATTTTACTTGCATACAGCGTGGCTCTTGTCCAGGTCCCTTTCCCCTTCAACCTCCATAACCTCACTTTTAAACCAGGGGGCGACAGTTGGATTGTATCTTCCTGTGGATGCTCACGCTTGTCCATTGTGGGATTGATTTATTTATTT